CACTATCTCAAAATCACCAAAGCAAATAAGACGCCCCTCTGTCGAAAGTCTCTGGCTACTTGTTTTGACACTGTATCCTCCAGTCCCGTTACGTGTATCATACGGCTGCTCAGCCTGTGAGCTATCTTCAGCTTGTTTCGTCTATTCCTTTTAAATTAATCGCCCTTGTCATTCTTGTAGGACGTATTGTCGGATGATTATAGAGAAATGCACCCAGCATAACCTCTGTTTTTTAATCTCTCTGATGTATCGGATTTTCAACCAATACACAATACATTGATGCCCATCTTGATCAAGGGTGCCAAGTTAAATGCCCGTTCGGGCCACTCAACGATTCCTCGTCTGTCTATCCATTCTCCATAATAAACATTAAGGTATTCCCGCAAATATGCCAGCGAAGCTCATCCTACATGCATTGACCGATGTTCGCGAGTGTTGGATCGTTGTCCTTTGCTCACGTAAATCTTCGAGCATTTCCAGATATCTTTGGCCCGCCACGTTACCTTCAAAAAAGTACGGACCCACGAGACCTCCAGCATGGATACCTACCCACACACACACACCAGGTAGGTTTAATTCTTCTTCAATGATGACTTGAGGATTCTGGTCGTCCCAGTACACGCAGTTATGCCGATTGCTTCATCCGACCACAAAATGGTACGCTGGTCCGGATTATCCTGACTGCATCCAAGGTACCACTCGAAAAATTTTATCTGCGATCGAAATCTTTCTCGTGAAGTGCGTGGAGGAGACGCATTTATTGTTTGATATTGTTTGCCTTTATTGTCCCTTCTATTGAGAATTCTAGCGTATCATTAATGTTGACTTTTGTTCTGGTCATAATTGCTGTTGGTGTAAATTAATTGATAATATGGTCTTAGAAGCATATATTTGAATTACTTTTATTTATATTTATATTTATTCTCTTTATTTTTAGTATGAGGTACTTTTAAACCATTGAATATTATTTTGATAACTTTGTGTTCTACCAATATTTTGTTTATGATAAACCATACTCCGAAATACGTGTTATCTTTATTTCCTTTGTAATATAAAAAACACCGGATCTTAATGTAATGCGGTTTTTAACTTTCTAGTTATTGTTAAAATTAGTATTAAGTTGTTTAATAATAAAATATACCGCTAGTGCAGCTTGGCAGTGTAATAGGTCTTATTTCTTGGATCTACGGCATACAAAGAAGTTACAAATGTTATTTACGCGTCGACCTAGGGCCTTTTAATATTTTTAAAATATCTAGATGTTTTCACTAGCGCCTGGTGGGAAGAAATCTTGAAAACGTGGCCAAAAGTCTCAAAAACAAAGTATTATAAAAAGATATTTTCGACTATTAAATTGTTTATGGAAAAGTTGATACTATTGAATTCCCGTCATAGAAACTGCGCCGGCTGATTCATTTTCAAGTTGCAGACTAGCTCTAATACGTCTTCGTTAGTCAGGCGTGGGACCAGCTTAGCGTAAAAGGTTGTGCATCTTTAAAGGTTGACCAACTGTTTTTCTACAGTGATAAATCAGATTAAAACATGGAAAATGTTTCTGAATATATGTACTTCGTTTTTCAATGCTTTACGCTTGTAAAAAATTTAATAACAATAGGTCTTTATAAACAATTATTTCTGAACAAAAATATGTAAAAATAAAACTAAAATTTCGTTTTAACTAATCGAAAAGTTATGTATTAGACCTCATTAGACCAAATGTCCAATATTTCTATTAAGTATAACTAATTGACTTTCAAAATAACTTAAACCCGCCAGTGCACTGGTCAGTAAATTACTAGCCAGTGCTCAGGTAATAAATAACATTAAAAAATATAATGTTAAAGTGTTTATTTTATTGCGGGCATTACGAGTTTATTTTTACTCATAACGTAGTAAAGGAACCGAATTGAAATTTTGGAAATCACTCGAATAGAATCTTCAGATCATTGTTACTTATGCGAAGCAACATCCACTAAGTTCAACGATATTGACGCAATGTTAAAAATAACTGTAAACGATGATCATTACAAACTACAATTTTCACCTCTACATGCTGGATTAGGTGATTTGAATGTTGCATTTATATATCCTACCAAAGTGGCATACAAAAATGACCAGCGCACAAAGACGAAGATGCGAAAAAAAAAAACAAGAAAACTTATGATCCAGTATGGTTTCAAAACGAATTGGGACTCCTCAGAAACAATCGAAAACCCGGTTAAGGCAGTAATATGGATGGAAACACAGCTTGACGAAGGCATTTGACCGGGTCAAATTAAAGGACGTAATCTACTTATCGCACGCAAGAGAGATACCTTTAGGAATATTCAAAACGATTGAAAATATCGACAAGAACAACACAACACAAGTCAAAGTAGAAGAAGAACTAACTGACCCTATTAAAGCTGGCAATGGGATAAGACAGGGAGATTCCCCGATCCTTTATTTTTCGACCTGATTATGGATGAAATAATAAAAAAAGTAAAAAAAAAAAGAAAACCAAATGGAAGAAAAACAACCAAAACAACCTACTCTTTCAATGTGAACAAGATTTACAACGTTTGCTGGGGTTTAATTTAACCGCCTAAAAGTTTAACAAGATAATTTTCCCAAAAAAGACAAAATGCATGGTTTTAACAAATTTTCTAAGATTTAAATTGGAACTGAAAGGTCAGATAATAAAACAAGTGATGAAGTTTAAATATCTAGGCATCACATTATCCACCTACGGAAAGCTCGAAACAGAAGTGGAAGATCAATAATTGAATAGAACAAACAGAGCCGCGGGTTGCCTAAATGAAACAATACGGGGAAATAAAAATATCGCGAAGGAAATAAAAGGTAGAATTTACAAAACAGTCATCAGACCAATAATGACATATACAGACAATATGACATACGCGGCAGAAAGACGACCTGTAACAGCACAAAAATGATGTTAGAAACAGCAGAGATGAAAACACTTAAAAAAAAATTGATGGTAAAACAATATGGGACAGAGTTAGAAGTAAAGATATACGACGTAAACGCAAGGTGGAAAACATCTAGAATTTTGTAAGACATAGAAGAGTAGAATGGAACAATTATATATGCCGAATGACAACAAATAGAGTAGTAAAGACGGCAAGAGACGGTTGCCAATAGAAAGACAATCAATAGGAAGAACACGAAAACGATGGAACGACAACTTACTGGAGACACATTGAAAAACAGAGAGTCATGTCTACATAGAAAGAAAAGGAAGAAGAAAGAAAGAAGAAGAAAGAAAGAAGAAGAAAGATAACCACAAACCCATAGTAGATGAAGATATTTAGATGATGTGGTCTCCATTTGACCTCATGGACCAGAAGCACTCAACACAATTTTGATGAACACTAACTGTAAAGAAGAATCAATCAAATTCACCATTTAAAAGGAAAATAATAACTTACTATCATTTCTGAATGCATTACTCACAAAGGAGGATATGGCAATTGTAACTAAAGTCTACACAAAAGCAACCCACACCAACAGATATGTAAATTATTAGTCAAACCACAACATAAATATAAAAAGGAAATCATCCTATATGATAGAGGTTAAAGCCAGCCACTCACGGTACTGCGGTGTCGTTCGACATAATCGGACAGCGGCGTTGTTCAATTTGTTGTCTTATCTGGTGCGCCCACACACCGTACTGCACCGTAGTATTTGTTCGGTTCTCGAACATATCAAATCAAACAATCATTTTAGCGTCTCTTGCTTTGTGCATAACTAAGCGTAAAAAGAAACCTAAAATGAAACGCAGATTTTGGTGGAAAGAATGCAAGATTTTTGTCCAAAATAAATCTCGTCTGTTTCTGCACCTGATTTACTTGACTGCAATACTAATTTTAATTGTCTTTTATAGGATGTTCTAAAATTGTTAATTTTTTTTCTTACATACTCTTCATTCGTATCTTTGTTCACTTTTTGGAGCTTTCAAATTAGAATGTCCATTGCCTGTTTTTGGGCGTTTCTACCGTGATACGTTTTACCTTTAATTCGCCATAAGCATTCTTGTTCTTTATATAATTAAAAAAACTCTTTTAAAAAATTCTCACTAAATTAAGCTATGTCGATTTTCTATATGATCAAAGCAAATGTGTAGTTAAAAATGTATTCTTGCAGTATCGACAAATTGTAAACGGTCACACACGCTTAACAAATTGATGAGATCAACTCTGCAGTACTGCAGCAGACAGGCCAGTCTGTCTGCGGTCAAATTGTACGATTTCATTGGATGCACGGTCACACACGATCAAAATCCTTGCCAATTCGTCGAACTCGACGAAGTTGAACAACGCCGCTGTATCGTGAGTGGCCGGCTTTAAACACCGGCTCCAACAAAAGTGCATTTCAGGAATAAAAAAAGCTACTAACAAAGATTTTACCAAAAAAATATTATCTATTATCATTTAAAACAAGAAATTCCACAAGATTGAAGAAAAGAAACAAAAAAAAACACCAAAGATGATCCAAAAATGCCTATAAGAAGGCATTTTAAGAGAACAACAATACTATGTTCGGAAAAATTAAAAAGAATAGGAAATAAATGCATCAAAACAACATTTAAAATAATCAACAAATTGAGATCTATTTTTTCCAAAACCAAATCCAACAACACATAGGAGAGATAAAAAATCTGCATCTATAAAATGTGAATAGAACTTTCATCTGGTAAAAACTTCAATACAAAGTGTTAAAAGGATAAATAAGATTAAATAACAGAGACTTTGACAGATCCCAATCAATAGTCATGGAAGAAATGGAGAGCAAAAAGAGAACAATCAAAGAATCAGCCATACAGGTTAAGATCATTTATAATTTTACTTTAGAATTTTTTAAAACGATTTCCGGATTAGAAATTAAAACGTCAAAAAAATGTAAAATATAATTCTCATTCAGTTGTGGTTTAAGTGTTTCAATCCCATATAAAATAATACTTAATGATTCTAGTTAAAATAAAGATGGATACTTACCAAGATTGTGAATTTCCCTGTGAGCAGTTCAGACTTGAGCGGTTCGTTCTTGGGGTCAAAATTAATTAGGCCTTCACGTTGTCGAGTCAATTCGTGTTGGTCAAATAGCGTCAGAGCTCTGACGACGTCAAACTTACGCGCGTACAAAAATCGCACAGCCGTGGTCCACGACACCGGTCCTATTTTCCGACGGTATTTGGCGTTTACTTTTTCTATAAATTCTTTTGTCGTCTGAAACAAAAAAATAATAATAATAATGGGTTATAATATTTATTTTATAAGAATGAGAATAATGCCACATAAATAGTAAAAATAAATACTTCAATTCAAGCTTTCAAAATTTGAGGAGTTTTATTATATTACTACAAAAAGTGGCAGAATAATGAACAGTTAAGCATAAACACAGGAAAGCGTGCGATCAAAGGGCATTCAATTACAATAAATTAATCTGTATAAAGTAATCTCATTTAGTTTAATTTTTACAGTCGATATTTTATAATTGGAGCATATTGAAATCTGCTGAAGAAAGTTTTGTTTTCATAATAATAAATTTGATGCACGAGGCATCAGGTAAATTATATTGCTAAAGAAAAGAAGTACACGCGTTGTTTTGAATGCTGAGTGGATTGAAAACTAGTATAAATTGAGATTGGTCCAAATTTAGCGGTAGTCTTTTAATATATTTTACCTTAGTTAAGACGTTTAAGTGTACTTATTTGAGTTACAAATAAATTATTTTTTCCACAATTCTACCGTCGACTGCATATTATTTTTTCATCGTTGATGTCCGAAGAACAATTAAATAATACACTATATCTATTATGCATCGGCTTACAACACTTCGACATGGGGTTAAAAATGGAAGCATGTCTATGTCTGGTGTACAGGTAATATTTACCGACTTGCTGAGTTGGTGAATTTGTTAAATTTGTTATATATAAATATATCTATATACAAGGTGTAACCTCGGAAACCTTTTTTGGATGATGCTAGAAAGGTCACCAATGGAGACACTGCGGACGGCAGCCAGATGGTTGGTGGAGAGCAAGTCGTTGGTTCGAAACTAGCTTTTGGAACCGGGAATGGGTCCAACGGATGAAAGAAGTAAAGATACGACAATATAAGATATATTAGAAAAGATACAGAAATAAACAAAAAGATAGATGGGTAAAATTACCAAAGATAGGATAAGATAGATGCAGGGCGTCACTTACCTTTTTTGGTTTAAGGAGCAAATTAAGAAACCTTAGAAAAGAAAAGAGATAAAGAAAGATATTTAGGTTCTGAGACCAAATTCAAGGAAAGATATCAACAGTTAATAATTAAATAAATTTGGTCAACACTCTACATAAACAAATAATAAATATATTAGGTGGACTCCGTCCACCTACTTATCTACGAAACTTAATCAGCCTGATCTTTCTTCTTGTCGAAGGTATAATAATAATTTAATATAATATGCAAATATTCAGAGGTATTATTATATCAGGAAACTTGTTAGGAGTCGACAAATAAAATTCATACATAAAACAAAAACAATATATTCAACACCACAAGGATATAGGCAGCTGAATGTACACACAAGTAATAAAAAATGCACCATCAATTGATCAATGGTTGTATACATATAGAAATGAACAGTTTTATAATTAGGAAATACCTTTACAGATAAAATATAATGAAATCATACACAAATTAAATCATCAGCGAAGAGAGCCTGATAGCGATTAAAAATACTCTACTAAAACTGATTGGAGAAAGCTCTCTTTGCTGTGTAAGGGCTTACCTCGAGATAATACAGTAAAGAAAAAAATGAGTAACAAATAACACAAAGTTTTTTAAAGTTAAATTCAAAGAATACAAAAAGATTACAGAAATAATAATTTAACCAAACCGCACTTGGTTAAGTTAATTATCTGTTCGCACTGTTGTTTAATGATTAACTGAGAATTAAATGTTCGTAATTTAGAAGATCTTAAAAACTGATTGAAAGTTCAGATAAAAATATTAAATGTTCTTTTAATTCAATTGTTAAATCGGTAGTTAATCTTAACTACACGTGAAGACATGGATAAACGTAGATTCGCCCAGATAATTAAGATAACATGATACCATACCATATTATTCGCCCAGATAATTGAAGATACTATGATTATGATAACTTACAGTAATTCTCGATGACTACTACACTGCACTGAAGTTATTTAAATTAGATTTAGAAATTAAAACTATATAAGTGTATACACACTTATATAGTTTGAATTACCCCAAATACTTTAGACCACATGTTCTGTTGCTGTGCTAATTTTTGAAGTTGCTAAATGTTGTTAGTTAATTGATTGTTTATACAATATTACCGTATAATGTCCATTTACTTGAGTTTACTCACAAATCTGATAATATCATTGACTGCTACATGTCTTTTTAAGGTAACACTTATAACATCTTCTCCATGATTGTGTGGTTCTCATATTGTACTTTTTAGATGAACTGATAATGCTTTCAGAATACGAAAACGAAACGTCTTCAAAATAGATAAAGTAGCCTATCAACTTTGTCTTTTATTTCTCCACCTTGAGACCGATATAAGAACCCACCACTCGTCTGAGTGATGCTTATAATATATTGGATTGACGGATTAACGCTTTGGTTTAATTCAATCCTGCATTGGAGGACAACTCCAATTTCTCTTCATATGATTCAAATATGTTACTGTTTTGACGGCGCTTGTCTTGAAATTTAAAATTAAGATTGAAAATATTCCAATAGTGTAAAGATTTTAAAGTCTAATAATTAAAATACAACATCGAATATTATATTAGTACGAAACTGTTATGAAATATTTTGTTGGAAATAAACCACGATCATAAAAACATTTATTTGATATTTCGGTTTCCGGAAAGTGATAGTGATTCGTAAATATAACCAGCGTATTTTCTAGAGTAATAGAATGCCACAAAAATTAAAACCATTAAAAAATAACATTATGTAGTGAAGTGAGTATTGAATATACCTTCTAAATTGTGTTATTTGAATCTATTTTAGTCTAATCTGCAAAAAAACACTAAACGGAGAAATGAACTAAAATTATAAATCTGAGAATGAATAGATAATATTTAAATTACAGTTCTATAAAATGTATGCTTGGAGAGAAAAGAGGGCGAAACATATCCATAATGAGCTGTGGTGTAATTTATGCCAAATAGTTGAACAAAAAAAAGGTATAAGATATGAAGTAAAAGAAGAAATAAACAAAAGCCAAAAAAATAGTTGCAAATTTAATTGTGATGAGACAGGTATATTGGAAGACTATAAAAACTGTCAAAACTAAAACAGAGCAGACAAAAATAGTAAATATATTTGTATTGCAACAAAACGGAACATTTGCACTCGTGTATGTTCTTTTGTGATTATACTGTACAAGGATTATTATTTTATCTAATCTATCTACTCGGAGTTTTTTATATGGGAATTTTGTTAAAAAATGCGCTAAAATTGCGTAGTAGATACACTTAGTGTAAAATAAAATAAAAATGTGAAAAAAAACTTTTCAAAAAATATTATTTTTTACACAGATGTTTATTCCAATTAAGCAGAATAATTTATTACCATTGTAACAGGAAAAAAGACTAAATAAAAAAAAACTTATAACACTAGGTACATAAAAAAAATAAAAGTTAAAAAAATTAGTTCATCGTGAGAAGAGAGAAACACAAATAAAACATTATCATTTAGATTTAGCCATACGGCTCTCACTCCCTCTAAGGGTAAAATTCACTTATCCCAGATACGGTATCAAAAGAATTGGCTCTGTTGGGACTCTTTACGTGTTATCGAGACCTAGGTGACTTGATGTGCTGGAGTATCATTCAAAACATTTTGTACACATCTGGACGTTGAGAGTCGTACAGCTTTCTGGATGGTCTTATAGAGATGTTCATTCAGAGCTTTTTTATGTTTTCTAGGAGGTTCTTCGGAATGACTCCAGTAGTAGAGAGAATATTAGGTATTATCTGAGTGCTTTCAATTCATCATCATCATCAGTTTGGCTTTACAATCCTGTGTGGGTCCTAGCCTCCCCAAGAATTCTCTTCTAGTCGTCCCTATCCATCGCCTTCCTCCGCCAAGCACGTATTTCCATATTTCTCATATCTTGGTCTATGTTATCTAGGAATCTTCCTCTTCTTCTTTGACCAATAGGTCTATCAAGGAGCGTTTTTCTAGCTGGGTCGGTTTGCTCCATCCGCATTACATGGCCTACACCACCTGCTTTCAATTCTCTATTGTCAAATTACGTTTTATAATGTTGTAGTATATGTTAACGTTCGTAGCACTCAATATGTAGTCCAGGTTTACGGGTGCAAGTGTCACAAATGTACCTAGTTTTTCGCCTGCCGCCTTGTCCTTTGCAGTTAGAATATACGGCAGTCTTTTTTCTTCCCATCATTTTAGCGTAAAATGTGTGGATTATTATTTAGTCGTTCTTCTGTATCTACAATGACATAAGTTTTTGGACCGCAGTCGACAGTTTTTTGTACGCTCAATAAATTCCCGAACAAACTTTAGAGGTGTTATTGTTTTTTTTGTTTTAGCCGCGTTTTTAAATGTTTTATAACAAATAAGCATTGCCACTGAATATGACATTTCAAATCTCCGGAAAAATAACTTTCACCACCATTTCAATGAATTCCTCAAGAAACAGTATGGCACTAAATAAGAGTCCGCGTGGTCGATACCTCCCATTATTTTGTTATTGACCACTAAATTTGGCTTATTTACAACTTATAAGTTACCTATACGTACTCTTCTGTTGATATGCTGAGATCCTGAAATATCCCACGACGTAAGTGTAGTAACGTTCCTTTTATCTTTCAATGCCAATAACATCAAATTACATGGTCTGCCCACAAAGGTGTTATCTTCGGCAAATGTTATTTTTTGATTGAATTAGGTATACACTTGCGGTTGATTTGAATAGTGCCTGTCAAGTTACATTTACACTTAGTTTTACAATTAACATTTAGTTTTAACAACTCTTCTGGACGTGGCAAGAATTGGTGTACAAATTATATCCTTTATATCCTGGGTTATTGTCCAATAAATTTTGACAAAGATGTAACACAATTCTTGTACTTATAGGTAGATCAGGTCTCACTAAATCTTCTGAAGTCAAACTTCCGTATTACGGTAAAATTGCATAAACATACCTTGTGTTAGCTCTGTGTTAGATT